AAAAAAAAAAAAAAAAAAAAAGCATGCAGAGACTCAAGGTAGAGTGCGATGACCTCCACAAACCCAGTGCCTCAGAAGAGGGAAGAAAGGCGGGGGCTTATGTCCTGGTCCACTCAGGGCCTCCCTCTGCCGCCATCCCCCAAGCATAATCCCAGCATATACCAAGGCCCAGTTCCTGGGCGTCCCCCTGCCTCCCCTTCTTTCCCAGCCAGCCTTCCTTCCATCCTGCCCACTGTGGTCCAGTGCAACAAAGTCCTGTCCTTGGAGTTTAGAACAACAATCATTTAGACTGAAGTAAACCATAGGCAGTAGCCCTCCAAACTGGCATTCACCTTTCTCTAGCTGCCCTACCTCTAAGGAATGATCCCCTTGAAATCCCCACTGCCATGGGTGTGCCCAGATGTGGGGAGACTGCCCCTCAGATAAGAGAGGCCAATGGCTATGCTCATACTGACTCACAACCCAGGGAGAACCACACAGAGAGCCCCAGGGCATAAAGGACTGTCCTGTTGTCCTGTTCATTGCCTCCGGGGCCTAGCAAAGTACTGGTCACATGGCAATACTTAATCAGTGTTCCAGGAAGAAAGGCATTTGTTCATGAGTTAGTTACTATTGAATGTTTATAGTTTCCAGCCTAGAGTCTCTACACCCTTAGACACCCACATTAAAACTTCTTTTAGGTGGAAAATTGCATAGTCACTGTCGAAAAGGAGACTGATCCCGAAATGTATGAGGAAGGAAATCATCTATAATCTCACTACAGAGATCATCACTGTCAACGTTTTATTTTGTTTTCTTCCAGTCTTTTCTCACAGTATAATTTTCTTACAAAACTGGGATCATACATTGTATGATTTTTGTCTCGTGTTTCATTTACTGTTCTGTAAACCTATCATTATTTATAAAAATAATAAAAATTCTAAAACAACATTTTTCAAGTTACATGATGCTCCATTATGTGGGTATTTCCTAATCTATTTAACCAACCCCCTTCTGCTGGGAATGTATCTTGCTGCCAGTGTTTCTTTATATATATATTTTTTTCCTTTGTAATCAAATGGTAATCATCCTTGTACATGCATGTTTGCATGTCCAGCTATTTTATATCTTTTTTTTCTTTTTAAAAGATAGGGTCTTGCTCTGTCACCCAGGCTGGAGTACAGTGGCATGATCATAGCTCACTACAACCTCAAACTCCTGGGCTCAAGTGATCTTCCCACTTTAGCCTCCTGAGTAGCTGGGACTACAGGTGCATGCCACCACCTGGCTTATTTTATATCTCCCTGCCTTCACTCCCTCTGTCAGAAGGACCTTTTCCTCCTCTCTCTTCTCTCCTCTTTTTAAACTTTTTCTCGTGGGTTTTATCCCTCACTCCTATATAGTCCCTTATTCAGGGTTTACGGCCCATATCTGCATGCTAATGTTCCATTAAAATGTTTGATATCACATATTTATCTTCGTGACAATTCCAGGAGACCGGGCTATTTTCCAGCCATCTGTGATTGGTTGTATTTATGGGAGATTTCTATGTGCAGCTTCCTGTAACTGCTCCTGCACATATATAAACCTGTGTGCATATGCACTATAGCTCACATGTGATGGCAGTGTGTATAGGCACATGTGCCTACACTTGTATGTGTCATACGTGTGATCTGGGGGTGAGTACATGCAAGTGGTGACTGGGCTGTGTTGAAAAGGGCTGGAACTCGCTTCTCTGCAGTGTCTGTCCTTCAGTCCTGAATTCTGTCCCCCCTATGGGGAAATGTCGTTGTTCTTCCTTTGGTATTCCTTATAATTTGTGATCCTTCACCCTGTGGTAATTAACCACCCCTACCTCTAATTACACCCAGCTAGTATTGGCTTCTCTGCAAGCCTACCCAAGAGTAGTCAAAAATTATTGCTTTGGGAACAGTCTGACCTAGTGAATTACCAGTTCAAAGACTGTTCCTGGACCAACTGTCATGAATGGAAGAGAGAACTGTAATATAGAAAAGAAAGAGTGACTATTCTGAAGAAGAACAACTAAGCCAGGTGTAGTGGTTTATACCTGTAATCCCAGCATTTTGGGAGATTGAGGAGGGATTATTGATTGAGGCCAGGAGTTTCAGACCAGCCTAGACAACATAGCAAGACTTCGTTTCTACCCAAAAAAAAGAAAAATTAGCCGGCTGTGGTGGCATACGCTTATACTCCCAGCTATTCTGGAGACTGAGGCAGGAGGATCACTTGAGCCCAGGGGTTTGAAGTTGCAGTGAGCTCCGATCACACCACTGCACTGCAGTCTGGGCAACAGAGACCCTGTGTCTCTAGAATAAATAAATAAATAAAAGCACAGATTTCTGTTCATACACAAAATAAGCAAACTTATGACTTTAAATACAACCTCTAAATCAGACTTTATTAATTCATCCTGTTCTTTAACAAGATAATATTCATCCAGTTTATGATATGTCAGCTACCATCCGGGGTGGGATATAATAAGAGAAAGAGAGAGGCCAGGTGTGGCAGCTCATGCCTGTAATCCTGGCACTCTGGGAGGCCAAGGCGGGAGGATCGCTTGAGCTCAGGAGTTCAAGACCAGCCTGAGCGAGAGTGACACCCTGTTTCTACTAAAAATAGAAAAAATTAGCCAGGCATGGTGGCATGCACCTGTAGTCCCAGCTCCTGGGGAGGCTGAGGCAGGAGGATCGCTTGAGCCCAGGAATTTGAGGTTGCTGTGAGCTAGGCTGACGCCATGACACTCTAGCCCGGGCAACAGAGCGAGACTCTGTCACAAAAAAAAGAGAGAGAGAGAGAGAAAAAGATTAAGATCATTTTTATTTCTAGCTGTAAAGCTGGACAAATCACTTAACATTTCAGAGCTTATTTCCTTATCTCTCAAATAAGAATGTCAGACTAGATGGTGTCTCGCTTCCCTCTAGTTCCAACACTCAGTGACTCTCTGAAATTAGTTGAATTTCACAGAACGATATAATCTTGCTGTATGTGTTCATGAAGAGTGTTATGACATTCTCTGCCTGGATTGAGAAGGGGCAGTTTTGCCTGGGCCTGGAGACTGGAAGACCTGATTAGAGGCTCTGCCTTCCAGATTTGGGAGCCTCCTATTTGGAAGGGATTGCAAGGGCAGTGTTTCCTTACTGATTACAATACTTATATTCCAGAATGCTAAGCACAGAGGACCTGTCTCTAAAGCATACTGTTTTTTTCTCCTAACTTTTCCCGTAAGACTATAGTTGGAAGTTCCCTGAGGGAAAAGGCCCCAGCAGACTGAGCTGCAAACCTTCCCAAGGGAAGGTGGCAATCACAGCTGCAGAAAGGTGGGAGATATGATCCTTGCCATCATCTGCTTCACTCTCCCATGCCAGAGTTTATCCTCGAACCTTCTCTCACTTTCTCCCTGCAGTTGGAAAGGTCTTTCAAGTTCCTGAGAGAGGCTGAGGACCAACTAAAGGCTATTCCCCAGTTCTGTTTCCCCGATGCCAAGGATTGGACTCCTGTCCAGCAGTTTACCAGGTATGAGCTGGCATCTCCCCTTCCCACCCGCAAAGACTAGGGTAAGACTTGGAGACGGGGTCAGACACGGCAGACACCGTGAGTCAGGCCTGCTGTTAAGCAGTCCTAATGGGCCTTGGCCTAGAGATTTCCCCCAGTGGTGTTTTAAAAGTTCCCTGAAAATGTGAATCACCTTGCTAAGCATGCAGATTTCTCAGGCCTCCCACTCGATCTGGGAATGTGTTTGTTTCATGAGCCTCCATGAAGGTAATTCTTAGCCTGAGCAAAGTCAGGGAAATATTGCTCATCACCTGTCCGCACCCAGTGCTCCTGAAACTTCCCTTTAGTAGCCTATCTAGCTGCTACTCGGATTGGGATACGCTTACTTTTCTGCTTCAGCCGACGTTGTTAGATACCAGTGTTTTTATCATCAGATGTTTCGGCATTTGAGCAAACTCAGTAGGCTGTGTATCCCAAGTGTGTGAGGGACAGTGCTCCCTGAAGTTGGCCCAGCAGTCTTTAAGGACCATCCGAGCCTCAAAGTTGCCCTGGACAGACTGCCCCAAGAGAGCTGCACCACACGCAGTTCCAAGAGGGGCACAGAACTGTCTCCCTCTCCAGCTGCACCCTCACGGAGTCACATCCCCATATCAGCAGTGCCACCTCATGCTCACACTCACGCTAATGCTCACTGAGGGCGGCACCCCAGCCCTCTTCCATCTGTTCAGCCGCAAGAGTGACAGTTGTGTTTTGTACAATGGGATGGCTTGGGCTATAGGAGTATGTGAGAGCTCAGGGTGAAAAAAGAGCACCTCATTTCCTCTCAGGACACAGTGACATTTCAGGTCTCTGCCTCCCTGACATTTACTCTGAAGCTATAGGTGACCAGCGTCACGTCTCAGCACAGAGGTGGACAAGCAGGACAGCCCTTTGGACAGCCTCCTCTGGCATGTCCCTGGCTGCTCACTACACCTCACTGCACGAGTGGTGATGTGGCTTTTGTTTTGCTTTGTAATGCCTTTTTTGTTTTCCCAACCAGTGAAACATTCTCATTTGTCTTAACTGGAGAAGACGGAAGCAGAAGGTTCGGTTATTGCCGAAGACTGCTGGTGAGTACATCCTGCTTGCCAGCCGGCAAGAGCCCCAAACACAGCAGGTCAGCCTTCCTAGTCCTTTGTGATTGAGATTCCACCATGTGCCACGGGAGAAGGAACAGGAACAGTGGCAGGTTAATCAATGTAGTTAGAAACATGCAGAAAGATTTGGGGGCTTACCTGGGTCTTACTGGTAGGTGGGAATAATGTCTGTTTCTGTCAAAAAGAAATATTTTCTCCATTGATTTCCCACCAAATTTTATTAAAGAAAGGAAGGACCTTTCTCTCCTTAAGCCAAACATTCTTTCTAATAAAACATGCTAAACAGACCCCTATCACTTAGAGAAAACATCCAGAATGGTTGCTAAGGAGAGAAAACTCAAATAATTCAAGAATGTCCCTTTCAAAGCTGTCTCCTTTAAAAGTCAGAAACTTATTCCAATGAAATGATCATACTAAAACATTTTGGACCTTATCATTTTGAGATCCATTCTTTTAGTGGATCTTTTTCCACTGAGAGTATAGTTGAGTCTCAGAAATAAATTGAAAAACTTTAGAGTCCAATATAATGCATGACACATAGTAGTTGTTCAAGAAATATTTGCTGAATTAATTAATAAATAAAAAGCATGGATAATTGAAAAAGTTAAATGGGTTAATATTTGTTGATCAAATTAGAGTTAAAATAATGAGACTGATTTTCCTTTTGGTTTGAAAATCAGCTTGTAAGTCAGCTTTCAGAAAGATCTTTGGAAATGATTTCATATTTTGCAATTATCATTGTAATAAACATGTAGTCTCAAAATAACTCCTTGGGAGGAACTACAGTGATTTGGGGAAATAAGTTAAGCCTCCTTACTTTATAGTTCTGTAGGCCAAATTGAGCACCTACTGTGTGCACAACGCCCTTGATTTGGGCCGCTTGGGAGAATAAAAATTGGTATACCACGTGACCTGCAGTGCCTCTCAACTATGAAAGGAATTATTGATGACTACTTTTCTCCTCAAGTTTTCAAAAGCTACAATATGTGGAAACATCTGGCACATGACAGACTCTCAAAAACATTTGGGTTCTTTCCTTCCCTAAGGTTGTAACACTCATAATTTCCTTGTGTTTCTCTCCAAAAAGCCTGGAGGCAAAGGGAAGCGTCTTCCTGAAGTTTACTGCATTGTGAGCCGCCTGGGATGCTTCAGCCTCTTCTCAAAGGTGAGAACTTGGACCTCAGAGAAACGAGGAAGGGAAGGAAAGGAGGGCCCTAGAAGAACCCAGGGAATACCTCCAATCTCCTGGGACTTTTAGAGTCTTATTCTCGACCTATTTTTGTTTGTTTGTTTTAGAGATGAGATCTCGCTCCGTAGGCCAGGCTGGAGTGTAGTGGCACGATCATAGCCCACTGCAGCCTCCAACTCCTGGGCTCAAGCCATCCTCCCGCCTCAGCTTCCCAAGTAGCTGGACTGCAGTCACATGCCACCACGCCTGGCTTCTACCTGTCTTCCTTCCCATTTCTTCACTTCTCTCCTCACCTCTTCCTCTGTTCTCTCATCATTGGTTCAGGAAATAAGAGCTGATGAAGGACTGGGCCCAGAAAGTGAGTGTGAGGGGAATATGGGGGCAGATCATTGTAGTTGAGGGAAGGAGGTGAGGTGGAGGCTCCTCTCAGAACATTCCAGGCATTTCACTTTCCTTCTTCTAAACATCGTCTTTTGTCATATAAGCTTTTGTTGGAAAAAAGCCACTATGATGTATGTGTGTATATCTGTGTGTATATATAGTGTGTATGTACATCTGTTGTGTGTGTGAAATGTATTATTTTAATGGTGCTCTGAGTTTATCAAAATATGAATATAATCAGATCCTCTTTTCTGGAAAATGAGCCAATATTTCAAGACATACAAATTGCCATCCACCCCAGCATTCTGGATTGGTGCATATCCAGAATCATATCCTATATGATGCTGATCTCAAAAGCAGGTATAATCCAACATTCATTTCCTATATTTATCAGATCCGAGTAATCCATAAATTTAAATAAATAAATAAATCCATAAATTTAAATCCTTGTACAATATATATTTCAGTCTGATCTTTCTCGTGGAGAACGGAAGTCCCTATACCTACTATCCGTGGATGCACTTCCTTTCTTTTTTTCTCCATACAAATGAATAGTCACTTGATTTATTGTTTGTGTGTTTGTTTGTTTGTTTTTATTTCAGCGCATTACGGGGTACAAATGTTTAGGTTACGTATATTGCCTTTGCCCCACCTGAGTCAGAGCTTCAAGTGTTTCCATTCCCCAGATGGTGCACACTGTACCCATTAGGTGTGAATATACCCATCTCCTCCTCCCACCTCCTGCCTGCCCAACACCCAATGAATGTTATTACTAAATGTGCACATAAGTGTTGATCAGTTAGTACCAATCTGATGGTGAGTATATGTGGTGCTTGGTTTTCCATTCTTGTGATTCTTCACTTAGTAGAATGAGCTCCAGCACTATCTAGGATAATACAAAAGGTGCTAGATCACCATTGTTTTTTGTGGCTGAGTAGAACTCCATGGTATACATATACCACATTTTATTAATTCACTCATGTGTTGATGGGCACTTAGGTTGTTTCCACATCGTTGCAATTGTCAATTGTGCTGCTATAAACATTCGAGTGCAGATGTCTTTTTTTTTTTTTTTTTTTGAGACAGAGTCTCACTCTCTTGCCTGGGCTAGAGTGCCATGGTGTCAGCCTAGCTCACAGCAACCTCAAACTCCTGTGTTCAAGGGATCTTCCTGCCTCAGCCTCCCAGGTAGCTGGGACTACAGGCACGCACCACCATGCCCGGCTAATTTTTTCTATTTTTAGTAGTTTGGCCAATTTCTTTCTATTTTTAGTAGAGATGGGGTCTCGCTCTTGCTCAGGCTGGTCTCGAACTCCTGAGCTCAAACGATCCGCCCGCCTCGGCCTCCCACAGATGTCTTTTTTTTTTTCCTTTGGGTAGTTGCCCAGTAATGGGATTGCTGGATCAGATGCACTGCCTTAAAGCATTTCTAAACAAAAATCTACATTCCTCCCTGCAGTGTATGAGAGTTCCAGTGTCCTCACTTCCTTGCCAACACTTGTTATTTTGTCTTTTTATTAGAGTCATCGTAAGGGGTGTGAAGTGGTATCTCGAAGTTTTGGTTTGCATTTTCCTGAGGGCTACCCGCCCCTACCCCAATGAAATTTTAATTCCACAGATAAACATATATCTGTTTAGGTACCACAGCCCATTAGAGGACTGAAAACCATTACGATATCTAATATAATTAGATATTATAATGCTCCCATTGAGAATGTATGTCTTAGCCCAGTAAGTCACAGGGCCAAACCCAAAGTCAAAGACCTGAGGAACTATACTTCACCCTTTAGTGGAAGGAACTGAAAAGTCACATGGCAAAAGGAGTGGACACACAGAGAGGAGAAGAATTGAGGCCAATAATGCATAAAGCCAGAGAGCCTGTAATGTAAGCCTTGGCCTGAGGAGGACTGCAGGGCTTCCCTGTAATTCTTGAATCACTGACAGGCCCGCTTCATCTAGAACTGAGCCATGCCTTGGTGCCCTGACTTCAGAATAGCTCAGCTGCCTTTCTGACCCTTGCAGATCTTGGATGAGGTAGAAAAAAGACGAGGCATCTCTCCTGCCCTGGTGCAGCCCCTCATGAGGAGTGTCATGGAAGCCCCTTTCCCAGCCCTGGGCAAAACCATCCTTGTCAAGAACTTCTTGCCGGGTTCAGGAACTGAGGTAAGCTGCCAGATTCCTTCTTTCTCCTCAGGAGGGATGGCCCAGACAGCCAAGTCCCAGGGCGGGGGCTGGCTTTCAGTGCTGTGGAATTCAGTGGTGGCCTCTCGCTGCTCCTCGGCCATCCCAGATCGCTCATCCTAAGTTCCACGCTCAGCCCAGTCCAGCCAGCCCAGGCTTCTGCCCCAGAGAGCAGGCCCAAGAACTGTGCTGCGGCAGCACAGGTGTTTCTTTGCATGACGTTCGCCTCAGGTTAGGGACGTGCACTGAACACCCTTAGCTTCTCTTAGTAGCCTATTGTCATTCATAAATTTTACTCGAACCTATTTACATGTTGGTCTGTATCAGCTCTATAACTTTATAATGTAAAACAGATTCTTCTCAGGGAAGACAAGCTCAGGTACTGCTTTTCATTCATCTTAGAAGCATGTCCCGTCCTTGGCTGGGTTGGGGGTTCAATGAAGGAGTTTGTTTTTATCCTTCCTTCTCCCTTTACATGGCTCAGTGGACATCGTAAGATGGATCCCATTCAGCCTTGAGTCCCTAATTCTAGAGGCACTCAGAAAACGAGGGCTCCTCTGGAGACGAAGGAGGGAAGAGGATGGGTCTGGGACACTCTGAAACAACACAATTTCCCAGCATGGAGAGCAACAGTCTCCCTGTTGCCAAGGAACCGAAAGCTGTGCCATACCAGACACAGATGGCTTGGCCAGAGGATGTAGCGGGGAAGTTAGCGGGGAGGAAGCCCCCTGTGGGGACAGCATGGCACAGGTGCTGCCCTGAGATTGAATTTAGCCTCTGCTCACTGTGAAGGAGGCAGCTATTTAAAGAGAAAAAACGTGCACATGAATACCAATGTGAGAGGAATTCAGAACATTTCTACAAGTACAGAGTGAGAAGGTATACACAGAACACACCAAAGCTCCCTGTGTTGGGTGAGTCTCAGAAGTGTTGCTCAGATCTGTTGGCCATTCTGCATGAGCCTATGATTTTACTTCAGCAGGTAATAGTCCCTCATGAAACACAGATGCTTCCATTGGGACTTTAAGGGACAGAACAGTTTTCAAAGTCATAGAACTCTTCCTGGGGGGTCCAGATATGCTGTTGCCAGGGAGAGCCTCCTGGCCATTCTGGGCCAAGGGCCACTATTCCTGCCATCCTCTCTCCTCACCTCCATCGGAACTGTCCTCAGTGTGGTAGCTGACTGTGAGACGCTTGCTTCCCTTCCCCAGTCTCCTGGGATCTTTCTTTTCCCAATCCCATGTGTTTTCCTATTTTCTTTCCCTTTTCCCCTGCCAGTGGGTCACCCCTGCTGAGGCTCTCAGAGCCCCAGGCTAGGCCCCTCCCTCACGGCTGCTCCTGTTCCCTGGCAGGTGATTGAACTGTGCCGCCCACTGGACTCCCGGCTCGAACACGTGGACTTTGAATCTCTCTTCTCCTCTCTCAGCGTCCGCCACCTGGTCTGTGTTTTTGCATCCCTACTTCTGGAAAGGAGGGTCATTTTCATTGCAGACAAGCTCAGGTACCAACCTTGGCTACTTCTGCTGAAGTGTTTGCGCGACAGTCAGTCTTGGACTCTCTAGGGGCTGTAGAGCAGGTGATTGCCTGGGATTGAAGACTGGCTTCTGTGGGAGCGGCTAGACGGGGTTGGTGAGGCTGCTCTGCCGCGCACTAGTTCTCTGGGATTTGGCCTGCTTTCCACGCACTGTGCTGTGTGCCAGGCACGCCACTGTGTGGCAGGGAAACAGATTAAAATGCAGACCTGTCTCAAAAGTTCTCAGTGCAGTGGGGAGAACAGAGTAGTAAGCAGACTGTATAGGACTATGCTACAAAGGCAGGGGGAGGCAGTAAGTTCTGGAAACTGAAGGAAGGTGAGTTCTGAGTGCCAAGACTCAGAGCAAGAGGTAAGCATATTCTAGGCAACAGGAGCCGGCTTTGCAGAAGTAAGGCGATGAAGGCTGAGCACATCACCTGCAGAAACTGCAAAGCAGTTCACACGGCTAGAGCAGAGAGAGGAAGGCGGAGGAGGGAGAGAGAAGCCAGCAGAAGGGGACAGAGGCCAGTTCAGGGAAGGCTGCGGGGTCGTTCTCAAGAGCACAGGCTCGTCCTAAAGGCACCGTTTCCCTCATTGTGAAAGTAAATCCCACCTAATCACGCACACACGCTCACTGCCCAGTAGGATGCCACCCACGTCCCAGTGAACACATTCAGTGACTTGCAAAGGCCACGTCACAAATCAAAGAAGATCACGGAAGGAAATGCAGTTAGGGATTTGGAAGGAAATGCAGTTAGGGATTTGGGTTAATTGTGAACTTCCAAAAAAAGAAGAATTCCTTGCATTTTCATCATTTCAAAATACCGAATCAGAGCCTTTTTCGCTTTGGCACTGAGGGCACAGAAGCGTGAGGGCGGCTGCAGCGCCGGGGAGGGCTGAGATGTGGGGCCAGCCAACCGGGAGAAGCAGATGAGGCCACCTGAGAAGTTCATCTGGAAAGACGCAATGCCAAAAACAAAAAAACTGAAGCACTGTGGTTTGGAGAGGAAATACAACTGAACTATGGAAAACAAAAGGAAGAAGAAAAGGGAGAGAAGAATGGAAAGGACACAATGTATCAACATGGGATTCACCAGGAGGCGTGGTGGGAAGTAGCCATCCAGCCGCTCCTCCTGCACCCCCTGCACAGCTGGTCACCTTTATGATGCTCCTCTTTGGACAGCAGCCTCTGAGCCTTTCCCAGCCTGCTCCCACCCTGGTTTTTAGTTAGCTATTCACTTTTAAATGTCGTGGTCATTGTACTGCCTGTGCACTTTTGTCAGCTCAGGAAGCAGGCCCTGTCTTTAGGCTGCAGCTGGTGCTAGGCACTGGGCAGCTCTCCAAGCTCCCCGGGCACTGGGGAATTCAGACAGGGAGTTCTCAAGGTTGGGGCCCTGGAAGCTCGGGATGAGTAATAACCCTTCAGGGACCAGGATCAGATTTCATCAGCATTATAGTCTCTGTCTTTATCCTCTGGAACCCATACTCCCTCTGTCCCCTAGTGGTAGAATTCTCAGGCTTAGATTTGGGGGAGGGGGAAGCAGTGGATTTAAGAAAGGCCTAGACTAGAAGTGAAAGCAAAGAAGTAAACCGAGTGCCCACCAGGAGTGGAGGTGGGGACAAACAGTCCCTAGGGAGCTTGCTTCTGAGGTGAAGACGTTAGACTGGGGTGGGCCCAGCCTGAGAGATGGGCATGGCTGGAGAGGAATGGCGCCCCAACCTCCCCAGGCTTCCTCCAGGGAGGAGAAAAGAAAGTATCTGCTCAAAGAACTGTGAATGCAAAGATGGGAACAGAGGAGGGAAGTGAGCCTTGTCAAAGACAAACACATCCCTGAGGGGCAGTGCAGGCAGGGAGACACCTGGAGATGCTCACTACTAAGCTCTCTGGGAGAGGACTTGGCCACCTCTGCCTTTCCCCTGGACAGATTTCCGGGTTGGCAGGTCGGATGCTGGGCCAACCCCTCCTGCAGAGCTGCTGTCATGAGAGACAAAGGAAAATGAGTGGGTCCCAGCAGCTGGGCACGGCCCCTGCCCTGTTCCCTGGGCCTGGCTGGTTCCCAGCCCCACTCCCTGCCCTGCTTTGGGGGCCCTTTGAAGGAGAGAAGTCACCGGCACGGTCTGAGAGGAGGGATTTTGGAATTTCTCTCCTCACCCCACCTTCCACGGTGCCTGGCATGACGCCCTCAGAGATTTAATTTAGTCTTTTCAAACAGCGCACGCTGCAAGAGGGTCAGACGCCAGCTGTGGCTGCCGCAAACGGCTCTTGCCACGGGCGCATGGTGCCCACCAGGGGTTTGGCTCTTCCATCAGCTGCCAGATGTCGAGCACTGTGGAGATGGGATTTTTGTAGGGGAGGAGGAGACAGCTGGAACATGGGGAATTTAATTTTGGCGCCCTCCTTGGAGCCGGGGCCAGAGCCAGGCGATGGTGCTGTCATTGTGTGTGAGTGTGTGTGTGTGTCTGTGTGTGTGTGTGAGAGAGAGAAATACCTTTAATTGAGGTTTTAGACCCTTCATGGCTTTCAGCCGTGCACTACCCTGTCTCATCACACAGAGGGGTTTCACAGGGAGGTTTCCTAGAGTAGAAAGGGCTCCTGAATATCCTCAGCCTTCGGCCCTGGGTCTCCTTATTTCTGAGACACAGGGGTTGTCTGAGCTCAGACCCCTTATGGCTCTGACTTTCTTGGGGTCCGGGTCTCGTTTTCCCTGAAGGCAGCCCTCACTTTTCCTGTTACAAATGGCTCGGCGTGCTCTCTGTCTTGCCCGATAAATTTTCTTTCCATCCTGCAGTAGTTCCATGCAGACCTGAAGAGATAAATGCATAAAGTCCCGAAGAATTCTGAGACAGGAAGAGACGAAAACAAAGAGTGAGCAAACCTGGTGAGAACAGCAGCGATGAACGTGGAGCCTCTGGGCCAGGCTCCATCCCTGGAGTCTGACCTGTGTCATTTCGTGCTCTGCAGCCCTGTCAGATAGTGCCTGTTATCAGGAAACTAAACAGCAGGCAGAGGTCCCGTCACTTTGGTCAAGGAAGCAGGTAGTAGGAGAGCTGCCCGACTCTGGAGAAGACGGCGGAGACGAGCTGGGCCATGGCATCTGGGGCCCTGTCTACAGAGCAGCATAAGGAGAGTCTCTAGAACAGGCCCCAGGGAACCCCTCTGTGCTCGGCAGTCAGGTCACAACTGTCACTGAGAAGTCTGCTTTTCTCCTCAGGGGCCTCCTTCCCTCCCTTATGGCCTTCGGCCTCCCAGCAGGGTTCCCAGTGAGGTAGGTGGGACCGGGTGACCCCTAAAGTCTCTCCCAGCTCAGAAATTCCCTGACTTCATGGGCCAGAGCGCTCCAGGCTCCTGGGACTGTGCTCCATGAAATTCCCTGAAATTCCTGACTCCGTGGTTCAGGTGGAGGGATCTGTATCCACCTTGATTTGTCTGATTTATGGGAAAGGAGCTGTAGGAAATTGAAGGGTTCCTTGGCCAGGCCATGACCAACAAGAGGTTAGGGACCAATGGCTGGCTGCAAGTTGTCCGACCAGGAAACTTCTGTGCAGAAGGTCTTCAGCACACATCTCAGCTGGTGCCCTCCCACTCTGCACGTGCTGACTCCTGGCCCCGCGCGGCCGAGAGTGGGAGAGCGCCTCCTTACTCCCCCCATTTCCCATCAGGAGCCCCACTCTTAGTGAGACCACAGAACAGGGCATGAGAACAGGGCATGTCACAAACGCAGTGAGCTTCCCCATGACATCCCAGAGGGGACATTTGCCTGCTGGGGTCTGTCATCACCACCCCCAGCCCTCTCCCCCACATGCACAATCTGTTTACTCCTCACTGCTCGAGTCTCCCCACTGCAAGCGGAAACGGCAGGGAGTCATGGCAAATATTGTATGAGTTAGAAGAGCGTTTTAAGTTGAGCCAAAAATCTATCCAATTTAGAATAACATTTTTGCTCCATTTCATCTTTGGGGTGGACATTGAGTGTTCCTAAGGGCTCTGTTAAGCCAAAGTTTGACAGATGGAAAAGAAAGAATGTTGTTGTGATGGCTTGTTCTGTTGTCATAACAACCCAGATAAATATTTCTCTATACCCTTGTCTTCATTTTCCCCATGATAAACATTTTGTTTTTTAGTTTACTCACTTCAGTTCCCAAAAGTTTTGGCTAAACCTATAGACCATGGTGAATAATAAAGTCAGAGCTGCACATAAACAAGTTTGTACAAAAGTTTTAGATGGGACAAGGGTTTTAATAGTCAAGAAATTTACTTTTTATCATTTTGTAGTGCGTTGAACCGTAAGCCAAATGATAAGTAGGATTAAGTGATCAAATCTTGACAAACACTGGAAAACCTTGGCTTTGAAATATGGGTAACTCAGAAATAAGTTCATATGTAGCTGTGCATTCTCATCCTTTTGTTTGCTCCTTTTGGTTCATTTTTTATCAGTTTCCATAGGCTTAAATGGGAGTCCCATATCTTCTCTAGAACTGGTTGCACCCAGCAACATTCACCATCTCAGAAGAAGGTTGGGTTTGTGAGCATGCCCTCTCTAAGGAGAAGAGTTTGCCCAAGGACTACGCACCTGAAATGTTAGCAGCTGCCACCTTGCTGCTCTAGCATCCAAAATACTATTAATAGTTCACAGGTCTGGCTAGTCCTCAGAGTGGTTGGCAGTCTTAGAGATAAATAATACATTTAATTCAGAAAAGTCCTATGAAAAATACAATTTTAATAGTATAATAGTACAATCTGATTACGTATTAAGTATTAACCACCTATTTTCACATATGAACACCAAGAAGATACCATTTTGGTATCTTTAGAGGCTAGTATAGCCACAAACACTGCCGTCTCCTAATCTAAAGCCATCACTATTGTATTCTGGGGCTGGAAGCTTATCCCAGTTCTTCTCCAGGCTGTGCTGGCTTGGCCTCTGTGAACTTCCTTCTTGTTTTTTTTTTTTTTTTTTTGAGACAGAGTCTCGCTCTTTTGCCCGGGCTAGAGTGAGTGCCGTGGCGTCAGCCTAGCTCACAGCAACCTCAAACTCCTGGGCTCAAGCAATCCTTCTGCCTCAGCCTCCCGAGTAGCTGGGACTACAGGCATGCGCCACCATGCCCGGCTAATTTTTTTCTATATATTTTTAGTTGTCCGATTAATTTCTTTCTATTTTTAGTAGAGACGGGGTCTCGCTCTTGCTCAGGCTGGTTTAGAACTCCTGACCTCAAGGTATCCTCCCACCTCGGCCTCCCAGAGTGCTAGGATTACAGGCGTGAGCCACCGCGCCCGGCCTTCGCCTCTTGGATTTAGCTGCTGCAACTCAAAACCTCTCAGACACATTCCTCTATTAGCTTCTCAAAGTAAGATGTCACCATCACTCTTCTGTCCTGTGTCTGCTGAGGAGACCTAGAATTAATAACCTTCCCATAGTTCTTTTTACAGCCTCAACAGGAAGCTCCTGTTTGCGGTTCCTGGACTTTGCTCTGTCTTATAGATTTGTAGTTTGCAGATATGAAAGCTACAAGGATATTAGAGATTATCTGGTCTACTTTACTTATTTCACAGGCAAAGAATCTGAGGCCTAAAGAAGTTAAGGGCTTTACCTGAGATCATACAGGGTCTCACTATGTCACACATGCCGAAGTACAGTGGTGTCATCATAGCTCACTGCAGCCTTGAAGGCCTAGGCTCAAGCCATCCTCCTGTCTCAGCCTCCACAGTAGCTGGGACTACAGATGTGTACCACCATGCCCAGCTAATTTTTTTTTAATTTTTTGTAGAGAGGAGGTCTCACTTTGTTGCCCAGGGTGGTCTTGAACTCCTGTCCTCAAGCAATCCTCCTGCCTCAGCCTTCCAAAGTGCTGGGATTACAGGCATGAGCCACCACGCCTGGCCTGAACTAGTTTTCTCGAGGCCCAGCCTATGTTCTTTTTAAACTCTGTGGCACGTTACTTCAGGGTTGCAAGGACAGTGATGGAAACATGTCAACCACTGGATGGTGACACCCAGCTCCCAGTAGGTTCCATAGGCCCCAGGCCAGATCTGAGTTTACCTTTCACTCATGTTCCTGGGAATGATGCTCCAGTAGGAGAGGTACTTCGCTTGGGACGCTAAGGGACAGTGATCGAATCATCTCTCCAGTTCCTCAGGTGTTTGTCTCATTAGGGAAACACATCGTTTACTTTTCTACTCACATCTCAGAGGCAGCTCTGTGCTAGATTCTTACTAGTTCGTAGGTAGTCAGAAGCCTGCCGAGCACAGGAAACCCAAGAATGGCAGAGAGGCTTGGTAGCTACCAGAGCTGAAGCGTCGGGAGCGTCTCCTGATGTTCCAGAGTAATGCTCCAACCCGCAGCAACCACCACCTAATAGCAAAACATTCCAGGACCTGACCCCTCTCACCTGTGACCCACCTACCTCCCACTGGGGCCTTCTCTTCCCTGCCCCACTTCTGTACAACTGATCACAGCTGTGGGAGCTGGCCTTTCCCTCCTCCACCCGCACTGTAATGCAAGCCAGCTTCCTGGGACTTCCTTCAAAAACTGCCCCTCCTCCTGCCAGCAGATGCTCTCTGAGGCCAAGCGGCGAGCTTGCTTGAAGAGCTGTCATTAGCATGCCCAGACCCACTGCCTATTCCTAAAGGACCACCAGTCCTAGCTGTGCCTACCCCCAAGAGGGCTCCCATGGCCTTCACAAGTCAGGGAATAAATTTCATTAGCACTTACAGGGGTGATTGAGAAAAAGACATAAGCTCCACTCAAAATAATCCTTCCTTTTCTCCTCTACCACTTATTCTGGGGGAAGAGCTGCCACTAACAGTATTATTTGCAGAACTTGGCCTTTCCTTTTGTGTTTCACAGGCAGAATTGTTTTTAGAATATTGATGTGGTCTAGAGAGCAAGAGGAATGGGACACCCCTCAAATAACTGCCTGCTGTTGCCAGATTGTTCTGGGCACCCTGTGCTCCATGGGCTCCAGCTAACGAGCTGTTCATGAAAACCAGGTGTGGGATCATTTGGTTCCAGCTGCAACAGCAGGATCAGATTATTTAAAACAACACTTGTTACAAGGCATAGTCAACAGTGGCAGCACAAACTGCATGGCCAATGGATTACCCAGTTGAGTTGCCATCATTTGCCCCCCAAGCCTGCATAAATTGTCCTTTAGCAGAGTGCAGCCAGTTCACTGAGTGAACTTTAGCTTTCTTTCTGCCACATGTATCCACTCATCCTCTGCATCTAGCACCGGCGTTACCCTCCACCTTTCCTGACCTTGCTCCAACCACCTTCTCATCCAGGTGGTTCACACTCACTGCAGCTGAACCTGGTCCTCAGGCTATCCCAGCCACCAGGGGCCTCCGTCGCTGCAGGCAGCATAGGGCTCCAGCTGGGAGTCACAAAAGGATCTAGCAGCAGAGAGAAGAGAGCAGCCCATTGTACTTCCTCCTTTTAGGTGGTCTTTTCTTTGAGTTGGGAGAAGAAAGTTAAACAGATGTCTTTTTCTATTGCAATGACAGCAAAGAACACACACGCTGTCCTCACTGTGCCTCTTGGTGCCTCCATTGCTCTCTGTAGCCCTCCCGCCTCCTCCAGTGGGCAGGACCCTTCTCGCCCCACCCAGAACTCAGGTTACTTGATCTGAGCTTAGCTTCACTTTCTTTTTAGCTATAAAATTCAAAAGAAAGTGAACTTGGCCGGGCGCGGTGGCTCAGGCCTGTAATCCTAGCTCTCTGGGAGGCCGAGGCGGGCGGATTGTTTGAGCTCAGGAGTTCGAAACCAGCCTGAGCAAGAGCGAGACCCCGTCTCTACTAAAAATAGAAAGAAATTAATTGGACAACTAAAAATATATAGAAAAAATTAGCCGGGCATGGTGGCGCATGCCTGTAGTCCCAGCTACTCGGGAGGCTGAGGCAAAAGGATCGCTTGAGCCCAGGAGTTTGAGGTTGCTGTGAGCTAGGATGACGCCACGGCACTCTAGCCCGGGCAACACAGTGAGACTCTGTCTCAAAAAAAAAAAAAAAGAAAGTGAACTTGATCTCCCCAAGATCTCTTCCAGGACTAAAATTCTGTGATTCTACAACTTCCCTGGAGTCAAAAGTGCTTAAACCACAACTCGGAAATGTAAAATGAATCTTAAACACAAATACTACATTTTTCTTCTGCCTTAGTGGACTGACAAAAGTGAGCATTTCGAAGACTGTTCAAATAGACTATGGATCTTCTCATAAGCTGCTTCCTTCTCCAAGTCATATTTAGGAACTTTAATGAACATGCTGTAAAAAGAGGTGGGTTTCAGACAACAGGCTTCATTCAGGGATCTCCTTCTTAATGTCTCTTTTAAGGGACTCCCTCAAGTCACTTGGAAATGAAATCAACATCCCAGTAAAACATGAAACATCAAAATCCCAATCCAGTCATAACCCTTCACCTTCCCCACCTCCCAGTTCGCTGGTCCAAATAATTGGCTTCAGACCTTTTTTATTAGAGCCCACGATGAGAAATACATTTTACATTCAGACCCATGGTACACTCCACACACATGCACACAGATATTTACAACTGGAAAACAGCACTCTTATTTTCTTTTTTTTTTTTTTCTCCCCCACCTCTTATTTTCTATCCTAGTTGCTTTTCATGCTGATCACAACCCACTAAAATGATTTCAGGACCCACTAATGGGCTGCAAACTATAATCTGAAAAACCTGCTCTAGTTACAGCTATGCTTGTTTGTATGTTGATGTTCTAGTTTTCTGAGCCATGACTTCATGACCACAGCACATAAGCAGACCAACTTTGTAGACTGGCCCCACATGAACATAGGTTAGTCCTAAAACAAACAAACAAACAATTAGAACAAAGTGAATTCAATACATTCAGTGGTCTGTAGATGAAGGAAATTAAACACAAATTGTAAGGAATTCACCTGTATTAACATTCTTGAATATCTGGGAGAAAGTGATGCCTTAGGAAAAAAGTTGCTCTGCTTTGAGTAAAGATATAGATCTAGAGCCTTCGAAAGACATAGAAGTCACTTCACCTCAAGCTCTGGCTGAATTAGTGATGTGTCTCTCCTTAATATAAGCCCTAATTTAATTATTTTGTCTCCTTAGTATCTTCCAAATTCAATGTCTTACTCAGCTAAGAAAGAAGATAATATAGGGATAAGAATGAAATCTGGGGGGTAGCATTTTTCTCATTTTTGGAGCGATCATTCGAAAGAAAAGACAAATGCCAAATAGTGCGCTACGTGGATGCTGTGCTGCTAAGAGGCATTTCATGACACTAGTGAATATTAGGAGAATGATTATTTGCAAAGATGAAGAACAGGAAAGTTAGGAGACTTATGCTAATAAACGAACAAGATTCAATAGTGTCGGCTCCCCTGCGCCCGCTCGTGTCGGCCCGCCAGGATGCAGCTCAAGCCGATGGAGATCAACCCCGAGATGCTGAACAAAGTGCTGGCCCGGCTGGGGGTCGCCGGGCAGTGGCGCTTCGCGGACGTGCTGGGGCTGGAGGAGGAGACGCTGGGCTCGGTGCCCGCGCCCGCCTGCGCGCTGCTGCTGCTGTTCCCCCTCACCGCGCAGCATGAGAACTTCAGGAAAAGACAAATCGAAGAGCTGAAGGGACAAGAAGTCAGTCCTAAAGTGTACTTCATGAAGCAGACCATCGGGAACTCCTGTGGCACAGTCGGGCTCATTCATGCTGTGGCCAACAATCAAGACAAACTGGACTTCGAGGATGGATCAGTCCTGAAACAGTTTCTTTCTGAGACAGAGAAGATGTCTCCTGAAGACAGAGCAAAATGCTTTGAAAAGAATGAGGCCATACAGGCAGCCCACGATGCCGTGGCACAGGAAGGCCAATGTCGGGTAGATGACAAAGTGAACTTTCATTTTATTCTGTTTAACAATGTGGATGGCCATCTCTACGAACTTGATGGACGGATGCCTTTTCCGGTGAACCACGGCGCCAGTTCAGAGGACCACCTGCTGCAGGGTGACCATTGTCCTCCTGTCAGATGACATCATAGCTAAAAGCTCAGAGGACAGCCACCCGAGCCTTTCCTAATCCCTGTAACGTTGCTGGATTCAGGACGCCGCCAAGGTCTGCAGAGAATTCACCGAGCGTGAGCAGGGGGAGGTCCGCTTCTCTGCCGTGGCTCTCTGCAAGGCAGCCTAGTGCCCGCGGGAGGGACTTGCCCTCCTCCCCTCCTCCCTTCCACGTGAAAATATACACCTCCCCAAGCAGTCTAGAACGCTCCAGCGTTTGTGAAACACAGCTGTCCCCCGCCCGATCCGCACACGAGCCCTCCCCCCAGCCACGCCCAAGCACACGCCGTCCATCAAGCCCAGCTGGGTGTGAGCTTCAGATGGCGAAGCCTTCCCCCCCCCCGTGTCTCGTATCTAAATATCCGACGCTTTAAGTGGCTACTTTGGTCTGTGTCTGTAAGTTAAGCCCTCGGTGTGGTTTAATTGTCCTTACAAGGAATAAATCTTTTCTGCTGATAAGAGATAAACTTAAACTTGTTCTCATTTTCTTTTACCTTTTCCCCCAGTAGAT